CGAATGGCTTTAAACTTGCAGCCCACATTTGTTTTACAATAATGTACTTAACAAAGTGCCAACTTTATTTATGCTCTCTACATGGTCACAAACTAAAAGCCAGAATTAGCCATATTAAAATATTTCTTTAATATACTTTTTTATATTCAACTGTATTCAACCTTAAACAAAAAACCTGAAAAGGCATTAGAAAAGTTTGTATTCATCTACTGATCTAATGCACAGTTCTTCGCCAACACATGCACATGCCGAACCACGTTTAAATATATTTAGAAGCATGTTCAGCAATAACTGAAAATAACTTCAGAAATAATGTACAGTATTTGTGCACTTGCTTTCATTGAAGCATATACTAAAAGGACATCTGTTTCCCTGAAGAATCTACTAAAGAAATAAGTCTTGTAAGTGCATATGTTATAAATTTAAGCATTCTTTACTTTGGTGTTGTAGTCATATCATTCATGTATAGACAGAAAAGATCAGGGGTTGAGTTAGGAATAAAAGGATGTGCATAGGATCTGATCTTCCAAACACAAGGGAATCTGAGCCTGGATTAAAATGTGTTTCTGTTTCAGAACGTTGAAATGGTATTTGAACAAATCACTAGGTTGATTTCATCATGTTCGTATTAAAATTCTAATTGTATTCATAAAAGCATTATTGATGTACAGTAGCACATATTGCAGTTAACGCTTTGGAGCTAGAACCATGATAATGCTTATTAATTGAGTTATAAGGCTAAAATTCCTTTTGAAGGGGATGAAAGTACCATTATGTTGCATAATTCTTTAAAGCTTGCAGTGACTGTATGTTCCACCGTTTGCTATACCAGTAGCACAGAGAATCCCAGAAGATCTTCATGCCTAAGTGTGTACACATCCTCCAGGGCAGGGGGAATTGGACTTGACAGCAAGACTTCTTACATGCATTTCAGGTTTTATCACCCATTCAGTCATGCTTGGCCCATTAAACGTTGTAGTAGTTCTGTTCTAAAGTGTGTTGGTATGGTGGCCTGCAGTTTTTGTCTTCTTGTTTTAACTCTTTCCTGTTCTTTAGTATTGAGCACTAGAAATTGTGGAGAATTGATATCGGCGTAGGTGTGCAACGCTGTAACTGTAAGATACTACTGTATATATAAGAATGAAATGGAGTTTGTTATATAAACTGAAGGATATTGGCTTCAACAACACAGCTAGGTGCATAAGCTCCTTCCAGATTCCCATAAACTTTTGTGTAATGAAGTGCCTCCTATTTCTCAAAATTGAATGTACTGTACTCCTACTTAGTCACTTCTGCCCTGTGAATTCTTTAGATCTTGACAGTCGGGAGTCTGCTGCAGGCTATGATTTGAACTAAAGAGCCTGAGCACAATAGAAACTATGAAATCTATTTATTGTGTTCGTGGATGCAATGCTTTTTATCTTTTTTTTTCTTCCCCGTGAGTGCGTAATGATTTAATTTTTTAGCGTTTTTATTCTGAGACCCTTTGAGATGCTTCAATTAGGACACTGGTAATGTTTTTATTGGTGCACCGCAACCTGCACCTTTCGTGCGTTGAGACTGGAAATCAAATTAAACTTGGCCTTGAAGTAAGCAGTCAGGTTTTGTTTTTATTCTCGAGACTGTTCGTTTAAAAAAAGACACTTTTGTGGGGGGTTTTTTGTGTGGAATTGTTACAGATAGTATTGTATATTGTAAAATTAAATTTTCAGATATGTAGCACAGAAAACGATTTTGTGATTAGTGTTCAGCTTTAAGATCTACATTTTGTACTTCTGTAGGGAACCTTGAGTCTTGATCCAGAGAAAGATATAAAGATATAAAGGTCATAGAAAGATGTTTTTCCATGAGTCTAGTTTCTAACCTCCAGTATAGGATCATGAGCGAGCCAGAGCCTATACCAGCAAGCAACGGGCACAAGACACAAGGGTGCAACCTGGACAGGACACCAGTCCATCGCAGGGCCCACTGAGACACAGCCATGCACCCACTTGTATCAGGGCTAATTTTCCTGTGAAGCCGGAGCACCCAGAGAAAACCCACATGAACACGGGCAGGAGATACAAATTCCATGGAGATTACATCCCATGAATAGAACCCAGGGCCCCAGTGCAGTATGGCAGCAATGCTTAACTATGTCACTAAACACATGTTTCAGATAGAAGTCCTTCTTCAGCTGTTTAGAAATACTGCAGCCACAGTACAGTAAACCTGGACAGGACAGTTTGAAATGTCCCTGGTACGTTAGCGCTGCAGTGGTGAATTGGTTACAAGAAACTGCTGAGGTGCCTGGAGGTTCAGAACCAGAAAACAGCAGGTCCTCAAGCAATCAAATGCCTGTGCCAGCAGAACTGTGCAGCACAATTAACAATCTTATTATTGCACTGGGATTTCAGCACTCAGAGGTGTGATAGCATTTGAAACGTTTAACGGTGTCGCAACTGTTTATATCATACTTTTGTTTTGTTACATTTTCTTTTTGATTATCCTTAGCCTTAGTAAAAATTGATACTAGCTATCTGTGCATTTATACCTAAATTTCAGACAAAAAAAAAAGTATGATGCCAGGATAGTTTCTGTCCACTTATTGATTTAACTTGTATTCACAGCAGGCTTAGATATTCAGTTAGCTTGTCAGCATTCTAAGAGCTAACAGATAGTATTAACCCAAGAGGCAATTCTACAACAGGCTCAAGGTTTTAAACATAACAACAGCAACTGTAGTCAAAGGCTTCAAGAAACTAGTCCACTTGTCTAATGACCTAAACCTTTCATGTGCAAGCTTGTTCAATGAAGATGCAAGTTAGTCAGTTTTCTCTGGAACCTTTTCTTAATGGTTATGCAAAACAGGTAATGTGAAAAAGACAATAGAGCTTGCTTCAGTCATTGAGTGTTTGGTATGCATCATTCTGACTTCAGCACATTCGTAATTATCTTGACAGCTAGACAAATTTATAGGGCAATTAAATTATAAATTAAAAAAAGTAATTACATTCATCAAGACTGGAAGCTAATTTGTATAAATATTTTATTAGTTGTGCAGTATGTGAAAAGAAGAAACAGGATGTTATAAAAAGAAAAAAAGATTTTCGTAACAAAAACGTATTGAATTGAGGAAAACCATGCAGTAACGTTGTGTGCTTGGAGACAATGTCTGATGCTGGAAGGATTTCATTATGATTTAATAAATATTCTCAGCAGCATGACAAGAAAACTTGCGATGGCTTTAGAAATGCCCTCTGTTAAACAGGGAGTAATTGATGAATCTGAAGCTTAATGGATATGCTGTAGCTGGCAGTCTGGAATGATGTGGCTTTGTCTTGAAACAAAGAAGCAGCATCCTTGAGAAGATACCAGACAATTTTAGCATTGTCCAGCTAATCAGCGTCTCTTTGATTTCAAAGGAAACAAAATCCAAAGAAACCAAAGAATGAAACAGGTTCTCCTTTCTGTAATTTTAACTAACAATAAAAAAGGTCCACAAATGTAGTAGTCTTTAATGAAAAAAATCTCAGTTTTTCTTGATTCCTTATTGTTTTTTTTTTTTTAAAGGCCTTTTTCTTAGTGTTTAAGTTTTGGAAATTTAGAATGTACAGTAAGTGCACGGCCACATACGTAACAACCAGGAAACAATGAATCTTGCTACGCAGACATATGGATTAGGGCCTCCGCTTTGCAGTCGTAAAAATGCAGTACGGATGGTTACTTTAACCAGCTCAAATGCGCACCATGGTCATACCCAACACCCCCATCTTCTCTTGAATCAGACACTTACAGGAAGCGCATAATAATCCAGGGTGTGAGAGTGCTGGTGACAGATGTCTGTATGACACAAACCAATTACATTGACAGACTAAGAGAAAGCAGCACATCACAGGAAGACCGAGGTACACTTCATCATAACGTAGAAGGCCAAATGACAGTTATTGAAAGTCTGGGACTTAATCAGTCTCACAGCAAGGTCAGGGCTTCTGAATCCCATTATTCCGCTGCAAATGCTGAAAGAGTGGCTCGCAGTCAAAGTTCAGTGATCCAGTCGGGGCTTTTTTTCCCTTCTTCCTCGCCTACTCTGTCTCACTGTGTGCTCCATTTTGGGCAATCATGTTAACGGTGAACCCTGGAGGCCAGAATGAATCCATTTTGATGAAATTTTATTACTTTATACGGTGAAAGGGAATTACCACGATGGTCCGAACTGAAGTGCTTTGAAAGCATCTAAAAGACAAAAACACGGTCTTTGTAGTTTTCCTTTAGGAATATGTCTTCTGACTGAATTACTAGAAGTTTCCATGGTTGTCTTTAAAAGGAAAATGTTCATGACAGATATTACATGCTTCCAGACACTGAATAGTATGGCCATCTGTTGCATTTGTTTTCCATAATTAATAGTCTATAGCAGAATGGATTGTGTTGGAAATGTGCCAACATCTTAAAGTATGATTTAGCTTACTGTACCCCTAGTTTTTAATACATTTCCAAAATAATACTTATTTTGTTGTTCTTTAGTAACCATTTTGTATATTCAATGTGAACTGCTTATGAAATGCATTTTTGTAGGTTTTAACATTCCATGTAATGTCTATAGACAGGGAGTGTTTCTTTTTTTACATTAGCACGGTAGCATTTAGTCAGCTGTGTTTTTTTTAGGCATTGTTGATTATAATTGAATCAGTCTAACATGAATAGTATCAGCATTTTAGCAGGAAGTTTGATTTCATTGTCTTCAACAGATTGACATGGAACCTTGAGCTATAGTCAGTGGTACGTTAGAAGAAAAGTGTAACCAAAATCTTAATGTTTTTGTCCACAAAAGAAGCTGGAAAAGTTAAGCAAATATATATTTAGACCTAATATAGAAAACGGTGATTTCATGCATTTTTGGCTTGCTGGACGTAATGAAATGACTAGTCACCAAAAAGACTGTTCTTCACAAGTCTTATTTATTTTTCCTGTCAACCTCTCAGCAGCTGATGGTTATTGTGTCTGTCTTGTCTCCACAGCTGATTAGCTTTGTGTGCGCCTGCTATGTGATAAGCGTGCTCACAGAGGAAGAGGACAACTGTAAGTACTGACGCCCTCCATTCCGTCTCTGGAGCTCTCCAGGGTGAGACACAATCTTAAACTAACCGATAATCATCCCATCCCATTACAACAGATGTCCTGCATGAACGCCCTCATGAGTCACTCTCTAAGCCAACATTCCTTCTCTGAGAACCATAAGAAATATGAGAGGTTACAAAAAAGAGAAGACCATTCTGTCCATATGTGTTTTGAGAAGTGTGTTAAAAAAATAATTGATTATTATACAGACTGTCCTTTCTTTAATCTTGGGGTAATATTGTTAAGTCTTTTGTAATATTGTTTTTTGTGACAAAAGATCAAAGTGCTCTTGACGTCTTATCCACGTTACAAGTGTGCTTCGCTTCTGTGCACCTGACGTCATTATTAGGAACTTCTGAGACAGTTTTTCAGTTGCCTTGCAGCTAAACTTTTGAACACTGGCTGGGATTTGTCGAGAATGTTAGGCCTTGTGGAGCAGTACCGTATCACAGAATCACAGTGAAAAATCCCTTGGTACAGTAGCTTATATAAAGACAGAAACGAGAAGCTCTAATTCTGTGTGCTTCGGAGCATCATGCAGAAGTGGTGATCTCATCTGCAGTGACACAACACCCAGGAATATCTTAGCTTGTGGTCTGAAATTCAGCAGACAAAAAGACACCACCGTGCTTTGAAGTGTTCTAAAGCAATAATAGCCATGTCATGGTAACAGACATAGACCCACAGTCTTAACGGAATTCCCTTAACAGAATTTCATTTTAATGCTTACTGTAATATATTGGACAAAGAAGATATGAGCCTGTTATTTTCTCCTTCAGGAGTTCATATCAGGACATTGGCTCTTCTCTAAATGAGTTACCCTGAAAGCATTCCATGGAGTTAAATAAAAGAAGATGAATGCTTCTTCTAAAATGTGTAACATTGTCAGCCAAATTTTGAATTCCAATCTAAAGGCTCCTCCTTTCTTTCTTTGTCTGTTTGGAACACTGACAGCTTTATCTTAGTATTTGTCATTTACTGCTGGCTGTTTCTTTCATTTCTTATGATTTTTGGAGTGACAAATTGGAGAGAGACTTCAGCCTTTATCATGATAATTCAGTGTGCTCACACGAGCAGCATTTGTATTGCATTTGAGATGATGCTGACATAGGAAAATGACTCCTGAAGACGGAAGAGTTTGTTCACTGTTGTGCTCAGTTTATTTTTATACTGATCTCCATCAAACAACAACTTACTGTACAAAGGTTACTCTGCAGTGAAAAGGAAGGTGATTTAATTTAAAGAATACAGTACAAACATCAATTTATTTTCCTTCTCTTCAAATGTCATTCCGGCATCTGTGGTGCATTTGCTTTCACCAAGACTGATGCTGTTTTATACATTTCAATAAGGAACACCCCCATGGTTGAATGAATCAATCAATTTAGGAGTCATAAATATGTAAATGAGTTTGATTCTTAAAAATATGGAGCTCTGTTGGCATATTTTGTCTGGCCTGGTGACAAAACTGATGAATGTGCATGATGGTAGGAAACTGACTGCAAGAGTAAATACCAAATACATTTATAAAATAATAATAATAATAAAATAAATAAATCAAAACCAGACAGATTGAACTGCATTTTTGAATGAAAACTTTGAGAAGTGTTTTATAAATGGTCAAAACTTGAAGAAGCTGAGAGAAAAAAAAAAACCTTTGCATAATTACCAAACTGAATTACATTTTAAAAGAGGAGCTTGTTGATGTAACACATGAAAATGCAATATACAGTACATGAGATGTACGGGGTTATTCTTAAAAATAGACTGTGTCTGTATTGCCCAGTAAGACACAGTGAAAGCTTCTCTACATCATTCTTAAAATCAACGTAAGGATTATGGAAAGATCAAATAGTATTGGCATGTTAAAAGTGACAGCATGTTCCATCATTTTTTTTACCATCAAGTGCCAAACAACCAGTGTCCAAGTCTATCAGTGTAGCTGGCTGCAAAGTAGTAGTAAAGTGGTAAGAGCTTGGGGATTTAAAATTAATATGGCAAAATTACAAGGAAACCTGAAATTCTTCACTCAATTATATACGATTTAAAGACAGTATCTTACAGAAGAGACAGATAACTTAAAGTGCTTGTAAACGAAAACAGTACTGAGATAGTCACAACTATCCATTTTCACATGATTTGAAAAAAGGTAGTGAAACAATTATCATTATGCTTACTGTCAGGACAAGAAAAGCATCTCAACTTTTGAGATGAAAATTAAAAGTATATTGCAGAACATTACAGTTATGCCCTTAATAGTTTAATGTTACTTACGTAAGGTGCTTTTAAAAATTGTCATAAAAAATGGAATTCGTATATTTTTGAACATGAGCCATAGACACAAACTACATTTGTGTTTTGTGGGAAAAAAAAGTCAGATATTCACCTCTTGTATAAGAAGCTACACTATTTATGGCCTTATCAGCCATGTCTTGTGAGAAGCCAAGGTATTCACAGTCAAAACATGGCTGGGTGGCATGTTCCAGACTCATACAGCCTTTTACACCAAAAAATTAAAAATGAAGAAAGTTCAATTTCTTTTCAGTTTTGTGAAAAGAAAAAATGAACTGATAAGAGATGCAAAGACATACTGTAGCTCATATGTGCCAGGAAGTCTTTCTTTCAGCACCTATATGAGCCACGTTTGGAAGAAATCATGCCTTGAGCTAAACCTCTGTAACTGAAATAGAAACTACCGTATAAACAGGCAGCAACATGGGTAATCGAGTGTACATATGGACAGTGTGGATTTGTAAGACACTTTCACTCCAGATATGTTAGTCAAGTGCACAAAGATGCACTTTTTGTTATCATTAACATAAAAATCTTCTGTGAACCTTGATAATACGTTAACCAAAGAACCCAGGAAAGATTTGGTTTCTCTGTTCAGCAGTGGGAAAAAAATCTAATTTTATTATGTTGAGCTAAAGGCTTTGTATGGTGTCATGGTCAGAAACGGGGAAATTATTTTCTAGTTTAAAGGTACCCCTAGGGTGACAGCCGCCTTCACTCAGTCAACAACTAATCTCAGTCAGGTTTGTTGTGTCCTCTTTACCATCAAGAATGAAAATTGCTCACTTTTCACCATAATACTTTGAGGATAGACCATTAAATAGAGGTTGAGGGAGAACATTATCGGGTCAGGTACCATCGCAGTAAAGTTATTTGAAAATGGAATAAAGCAACATTAACTCTTTTCAATCAAAAAGTCATTAATGTTGCTGCCAGCAGTTAAGTAAAAGCCAGTCACTGTGGCATTTTTTATGAATCATTTTTAGTTAACACAAGTGAAAGAAATGGGATATTTTGACAGTACTGCCTTCTGTCTTGATAATGCGCTGCTAGGCCTGTCAACACTGGGGAAAAAGCCCATAATGACATGGTGAAAGTCTCTGATGTTGTGATTAATCTGACTGATGTTCACATACTTAAATATTTTAGAACTAGCTCAACTTGAGGACAAGGTCAAAAGAAAGTGTATTGTCGCCTTAAAATTCAAAACAAAACTAATTTCCCTCAGGGGATAATAAAGCTTGAATTGATTAATCATTAGAATCAGTATCACTGCTTCATTATTGGGACATATTCTCCTTCTTCCTGGAACTGATTAGCTTAATGAAGCACCTTTCCAGAGGTCAAACTGTTCATAAGATACAGCATGTGTGCCCTGATGATTTATATCGCAGAACAGAGTCTTCCTCTTTGTGACTCTTCCTCTCTCTGTCCTATGCTCTGACTCCTCTCTTTTTAACGTGTGTCCTAATTATTCTGACCACAATCAGAATAGTCCTGTTAAATGTTTATGATCTAGGAGGGCCAAGGTAGTGATTTCGCATTATTAGTTTACCCTGAGTTAACAATTAATACCACAATTAAAGTGATTTGGACCTTTGGCCAATTTGCATCAAGAACCGAGAAGTTTAAAGTGTAAAGACTTAAACAGTACCTTTTGTGATGGTTGCTGGCATCTACTTTCAGTTAATTTCAAAGAAATGCTTAGATAAAACAAAACCTGAAGAAATTCAATTAATTTAAAATCATTTCACAAAGCAGTATTTAACTACTTATGGTAGTGTTCCATGGCATCTGTTTGACCGATTGATGATAAATTGGTAATGGGTTTACTAGAAGATCCTCAACTGACTTGATTTTCACCCCGTCAGTATGATTTACGGTAAGGAAGCTGAGCTTTACAGCTAATGTTACTGTAGTAAGCACATACCAGTACAGAATCTTGCTAGACTTCTTGCTTATGGTAGTGAACTCGTCTACAAAAATGTGTATACAGTAGCAGCAGGCTGAAGCTTGTTATAAAGTTAAAAGAGCTTGGAGATGGGGGAGTGGCTACAAAGTATTTAATTGTATTGTTTTCATTGTGTCCATTCAATGTGTTTTATTATTTTGTGACGCAAACACTCTGTCTTTAATAATGTCAAAGATTCATTTTACATGTTTGAAATGTCTTCAAAGTGAGGAAGTAGTGTGAAATTTTGTATTTGAACACTTAAAACAAATTGTCTGTAGCAATATGAAATGCATAAAATCAATCTGTCCGGAACGCATAAAGCTACCCATAGATAGTATGCTTTGTGTTATGTGGTATAATTTTCCTTGAGATTTCAAAACAAAGGTTCATACTATAGAAAACGTTTGATAAATCCCTGCTGTCATATGTTTAATCTAAAACCTACCACCTGAAAATTTGTTTTTGTTTAGTACCATTTCAGTTGCACCCAACTTCAAAACCATAATAATCAAAGCGAGATCAGCTGGTATAATTTAAGGATTATAATAAAGGTCTTTCTTTTAATTAAAATATTTGAATGCAGTGTTATCAACAACAGATGCCGCTCTTTTTTAATCTAGAGAGTTTTCAGGCATTCTTGCTTAAGAGTATTTTTAAAAGCTTTTCACTAGGAATCGCTAGGATGTAAAATATAATTTTTATCCTGTATTCTGTT